CTGGTGCAGTCAGGAGGAGTTGAAGCCTCCCATTCAAGTCTATGGTGCCATTCCGCAAACGCCTGTGCGGTTGCGGAGCGTTAATACCATTTTTAAACTTCATTATAGGCATTTGTGTGCGGTTTTAACGCTTGGCAAACACCTACCAACCACTGCAAAATCGCGCATAGGGTGTTTTTGGAGAGTTTGCGGAGCATTAAAAACGCTTCACGAACGCCTGTCTAACACTTGTCAAACGCTATAGGGGCGTTTGTCTAGAGTTAGAAATAAAGTCAAGTGTGAACGAGCCCTAACTGAGACTTTATTTTGTAACATTATTACATTCCATGTTCCTATTTTTTCACTAATTTACTCCTCTTTTCTGTTGATACATACAGTAAAATCTGTTGTGATTTAGGCTTCGTTTTGTATATGGTGGGGAAGGTCTATAAACTCTGTCAGGTTTTTACTGCAATCCAGGTTTCTGTTAGAGATTGATCCTCTCTTGTTCTGCTGACAACATTTTACTAGGTGGAAAGTGAGGGTGACTCTGATAAACAGGTCACCTTCATGACTAAACCCTGTTGGGAAGAAATTCTCCAAAGTAGTAGGAGATGGTCTGGTGCTGAGCAATGTGTCACAGTTAGGCTTGCTGGATATCAAGAAAAAAAACAGGGAAAGTGCAGCCAATCAGCTCCTGGGCTTTTCAATCTGCTCTACGGTGCTCCATAGGAGCAGTTGTAGAAGATCACTGTAAATGCAACGCTTCCACATTGTTTTTACTTTGGAAGTGATGTGACATCAAGACGTCATAGCGCTTCCTCTGAGTACAGAGGCTGAGACAAACTGTAGCAGTTTTGTCCTGTGCTTCCCTGCAAGAATAGATCATCGTTTCAGTGATCTGTTGCTGGTAAATTGCAGCCCACAATAGATTACTAGTTTTGTTGAACTTTAATGGTTAAAAAGAATGTTAGTTGATAATGAAAGCAACATTGTAATGGCCCTTGTTGGCGTCTCCTACTGAAACTCCTAGTAACCTGATTAATATGGGGACCCTATTGCTTTAATACAGGGGTCTCCACATTTTCTAAACAATGGGCTAGTTTTCTGTACTTCAGCCTTTTAGTGGGCCTGACCATGGACAGTAGAAAATGCCCTATCAATGGGTGTAAACAATGCCCCATCATTGGTATTAGTAGAAGGAATGGCAACCCATTGCTGGCATCAGTGGAAGGAAGAGTGTCCCATCTTTGATAGAAGTAGGAGGGAATAGTGCCCCATTATTGGTGTCAGTGACAGGAATTATGCCCCCACTGTTGGTGTCAATGGGAGGGATAGTGCCTTGTATCATTGGGATTCCTAATGCCCCAAGGGCTAGATAAAGGCAAGCAAAGAGCCACATCTGGTGCCGGGCTACAATTTGGAGACCACTGCTTTAATACTTTTGGGTAACAAGTATGCAGATAAACACTTCTGATGTTTCTCTGACTTAACTTATCTGCATACTACTTCGGGGTTATAGAAGAAGCATTTGCAGCTCCTGTAATTCTCACAATATAGAATTCCCAGTTATTGGTGTGATTTGAGAGAACATTGGAGTCACATGGGAGCAGTCATCTGACCATTGCATGCGTATGTACAGATTTTTAATAAACCACTGAATAGCGTGCTAAGTAAGTAGCGAGAAGCAGTAGTGTGTATCAACTGTGTGTCTGTCAGTAAAATCTTTTATTGATCTGAATAACTAAACTAGTGAAATTTCAACATCACATTGCTTTTAAAGATAGACCTATTTAAATTTATGGCTTTCAGCTAGCTAGCTTCTGGCATTTCTGTTTAAAAAGTGGCCTACTCATAGTTCCTTATATTGCAGCCTTCGTAAAATAAATCCGATTTGGCAGAAAACGGACAAATTGTCCCACTACATTATGTGCGAACAGTATTAACCTTAGTTTTTTTTAACTACTTACTACAATAGTACTATGCATGCTACGGTAGTTACAGGCAATGGAGGGAAGCAAAACCGGAAAAAAGTGACTGTTTATATTGATCACTCAAGCTTTAAAGTGGTTCTAAAGGCTCAAGGTTTTTTTTTTACCTTCCTTACCTTTTTTACCCCCCCCTTTCCCCCCAATACCTACCTGAGCCCCCTCTCAATCCAGCAATGTGCACGACAGCCTCAACTCTCTGAGGACTCTCCCTCCTGATTGGCTGAGATAGCGGAGAGAGCCATTGGCTGCTGCTGTCAATCACAGCCAGTGAGCCAATGAGGAGAGTAGGGGTGGAGCTTTGCTATGGCTGTGTGTGTGTGAGTTAGCACGCAGGGCAATGGCTCAGGAGCAAGCCTGCTTAGGTGCCCCCCTAGCAGGCTGCATGCTGTGGGGGCACTTGGCAGGAGGGAGCTGCCAGGAGAGTCAGCGAGGGACCCAAGAAGAGGAGGATCAGTTCTGCTGTGTCTAAAACCACTGCATAGAGTAGGTAACTATGACCATGATTTGTTTTTTTTTTTTTTTTTTTTTTTTTTTTTTTTTTTTACTTGCCTTTTAATATCACTTTAACTTTTATTCACTCTAGCAACATGAAGATTGGTCACTTTGGACAATATTTCTACTTTCTGTAATGTTTATTTTCTTGTGTGTAATGTGATCTGATGTTATGCTTTATGCCAGCGCTTCGTATTGGTTGGCTGTCTTCCCTGCACCTACTAAATAGGTTCAGTTGTTTAGTTATGGAAAAACTCTGCAGCAATATGTAGCTGTCATGTTTTATATTAAAACCTATTTGTAGTGCACATAAATATTATTTGTTTTTTTCCTTGCAGGCAAATTCCATTGTATATTAATGATATAAGATGGCAACAATCGAACTCAAACCCTCCTGGGCCCTATCTTGCTTATCCTATTGTACCTGCTCAGCCACCTGTATCAACAGAATACATGTACTACCAACTAATGCCTGCACCTTGTGCTCAAGTCATGGGATTTTACCATCCATTTCCCACTACTTATACCACGCCTCTTCAGGCAACCAATGCCGTCAATGCAATCTCTGTCGACTGCAATGACCGCACAAACCAACAAACTCCGATCAATGTTTTATCGAACCAGCGAAGCAGAAATACCTCCAGACCACCCCTTATCAACAAAGTAAGTACTTGCCTTGCTATCCACGTACAAGTATTTAAAGAGAACTGGTTCTGATTGCACTTACACAAAAAATTCTGTTGAGTATTTGATAGGGCAGCAAATGTCAGGACCTGAGGTGTCCTCTTACCCTTGATTCTTAGAGCCAAAGCTCAAGCTCAGACAAAATACATAAAGCCAGTTTAAGGGGGCAAAGTAAGTTCACTGCTGGAGACCTCTGATTTAAGTTTTGCACATGTACGAGCGTGCTTCTTTTACACGAAAACATGGTTACAACCCAAAACATATATTTTCTGATAGAGGTGAATCATTAAAATGATGGTGCGTGGAATTGTTTGTCGCACGTTATTAGCATGACTCCTTATCAAATCTAAATTTTCACTTAAAACGTGCTTACTTTCACTTTAGTGCTCACAAACACATGACAAATGTTCATACTTTCTGTAAAATACAAAATGTGTGTTATGTTAATAGGTACAAAATATGTTGATCTAAAAGTTCGTTGCCCTTAAAATGTTTACAAACTGATACTTTAAAGCTGAATTCCAGGATTATGTGATAATTTGTGCAGACATGCTAGGGGTAAGTCCAACAAGTTGTATGCCACCCCCTTTGCATATCTGAATTATTTATATTTGACAGGTTTATGGCACTCGGAATGTTCAGTGCTATACAGTTTGTGTAGTGCCATCCGGAGTGGCTAGGTAAAGCCCTTTTCACACGGGGTGGACTCCATTGAGATTAGCCGGGGATCTGCCCAACGATCCCCTGCTGATCAGAGCAGAGCGGACAGATGACACATTCGTGTCTGCTCAGTTTATGCAGAGCGGCCATGGATAGAACCCACCCTGCTCTGAGTGGCTGGGAGTTAAGACACCTAACTGCCATGTAATGTGATCAGCCTAAATTGAGGAAGACGGATCCTTTCTGTGTGTGTGGTTTGTTTTTTTTTTTTTTTTGTTTTTTTGTTTGTTTTGTTTTTACCGCACCATATCAGACTTGGGGGCAAGTGGGTGTAAATGGACACAAGTCTGTTTACACCCGCTGGACCATAGAGCTGAATGGACTGTCCAATTGCGTTCACCTGTAACACTGACAGGCAAACCTGGTCCGGCTCTCCCTTGTGAAAGGCGTCTAATATCTGGGCATATCAAAAAACCAAACTAAAAGTAACCATTTAGCTGTAAAATGCAACCTAGAAGATAGCCTTCCCCTATTTCACTGCAGTCTTGGCGTGCTAAATCTGCAGCAGCAACATTGACTCTCCTTGAGCCCTTGGCTGTTATCACTCTATAAAGTCCTTTTTACTTTCAACCTTGATTACATCACATTTAGACTGGTTGCAACATTACGAATGCCAAACAAAGTCAGTGTCTTGTTCAACTTTTTTAATTGTTTAGATTTGCATTTGATTTAATTATCCATATCAGCAATGTATATTAAAATCTTTTCTATTTCCTAAGCCTCTGCAGCAAGGAGTACCACAGATTAAATGCAAGAGGCCCCCAATGAAGAGTGTGGGCGGTACAGAAGGAAACCTGTTCATCGGGCCCAGACAGTCGGTCCAAAATTGTTCTCTTAGTGGATGCTTGTCAGCAAACAGGTCAATTATTATACCTTTTGGACTCAAGTGTTTGTGCACATAAACATGAAAGTAAAAATATTAAATATTATGCTTTTTAATTTGTAGATTTTCCAAATGAAATAGCCAACAAATCACTCTGTGAAAGTATGGGCGCCGTACCGTGGAAAACAAAAACGAGACGTCGACGGTCTTCTCATCCTGCAGCAGAATCATCCAGCGAGCAAGGTGCAAGTGAAGCAGATATTGACAGTGACAGTGGATACTGCAGCCCAAAGCACTGCCAGGCAGCTGCAATGTGTTCTAGGCATGCAGACTGTACTGCTTCAGCTGTCAGTGTACGTACAAAATTGGCATGTTACTTTATACCAATATGTATTCCTTTGTTTCATGTCGTCCATAGTATCATGGCAACTATGGAGTTTGCCTGTTGTCTATGTTCTGCGGTGAGGAACATATTGTTTATACTCTGCAATAGATGGTCATAAGAAGATTGGAAGATAATCTATGTATTCATTGTCTTCAATGATTTGGAAAGCAGAAACAAATTGTAATCTGTATGTGTTGTGATTGGCCTACAAGAAGTTCGTGATTTGTAAAAACAGTGTAAATTGCTAACACGAGCACTTTTTTTTTTATTAATTTGACTTTCTCATTTTTTTCCAGATTGCTGAACCAACAGTTTGCACAGGTAACAAATACAATGTTCCTTAAAGCCAGTTAATCCTGATTTATAAATGTGTAATTTGTAGGAAATATATTGCCCCACTGCCACCAGATAGATTAACCACTTGCCGTCCTGAGGATTTTACCCCCCTTCCTGACCAGGCCATTTTTTGCGTTACAGTGCTGTGTTATTTTGACTGACAATTGCGCAGTCATGCAACACTGCTCCAAATTGAAAATTACGTCCTTTTTTTCTCATGAATTGAGTTTTCTTTCGGTGGTATTTGATCGCCTGTGCGGTTTTTATTTTTTGTGCTATAAGCAAAAAAAGACTGTCAATTTTCAGAAAAAAAACAATATTTTGGACTTTTTGCTATTAAATACGTCCAATAAGAAAAATTTAAAAAATCAAATTTCTTTATAAATTTAGGCCAAAATGTATTCTGCGACATGTCTTTGCTAAAAAAAATCCCAATACGTGTAAATTAATTGGTTTACGTGAAAGTTATAGCGTTTACAAATGGCGGTATAGATATTGGGATTTTTTTTTTTTTCTACTAGTAATGGTGGCGATCAGCGAATTTTAGCGAGACTGCGTCGGACATTCTGACACTGGGGGGGGAACTAACTTGGTGTCACTGACATCCCCACTGACACCAATACAGTGATCAGTGCTAAAAAAAAACCCCCAAAAAACAGCACTGACTCTGTACTAGTGGCACTGGGTAGGGTTAATGTGAGGGGCGATCAAAGGGTTAACTATGTTCAGGGAGTGTTTTACTAGGGGGCGGGAAGGGGGGTGTGCTTCACTGTAAGCACACTGATCAGGATGGCTGTGCACAGCCATCCTGAGCAGTGTGCCCAAGCTGACAGGGAAGAATATTGTTTGTAAACAAAACAGTCTTCATCCCCATCGATGATTGTCCATCTGTAATCACTGGGCAAGACCCGGTTATTGACATCCGTGGTGGCGTGGGTAGGGCGTGCGCTGCTCGTGTGCGCCCCCTACCCGGAAATGCAAAATCACGTATATATGTGATTTTTGCGCACCTGTACCGCTATGTAGCAGTATATCTGCTATACGGGGGCAGAGAAGCGGTTAAAATTTGTGCTGGAAAATCATAAAGAATGGTAAGATAACTATTAAAGGATAAGTTTGCCTTTTGGAACATCTTACACCCATATTTAGGGTGCAACATGTAACGTGCTTCTGCACCTCTTCCCCCCCCCCCCCCCCCCCCCCCCCCTCTTGTCTTGTAGTTCTCAGTGAACTGTGAGGGCGCTGACAAGTGCCCTCATAATTCATTGACACTTCCTCCAATTTTCTAACATAATGTCCATACAGAGGTAGTGTGTGCCGGAGCCTGACATGGCACCTGTGATCCCCTGGTCACGGGTGTAATGCACTTCAAGCTCTTTGGGGAAAAAAATAATAAAAACACATTTTTCTCTGTAAAAATGTGAATTTTTTTTTTTCCCCCAAAGGTGAACTTAGCCTTTAATTGTTGCTGGGGTGCATGGTCAGCTGATCTTCCTGCCATGCCATCTGAATCCTCTACGTAGATTGTGTCTTCTGATTTATGCTTTTTTTTTTTTTTTTTTTTTTTTTTTTTTGGTTACATAAATTGTTGACTTGGATAAAGTTTTCTTTGTGACATTGACTTAATTTATGTGTTTTCCTGTAAACAGCTGGAGGAAGTTGGGCCAGTGTTGCCTCCCAAGCTACTCAGAAAAAGCCTTGGAATGAGAAAAGTCAGGTTTTCTGTAGAGGTGGAAGACAGGCTGAACTCCGAAATAATGCACAGGTAACATGAAAATCAGCATAGGGCAAATATTAACTTGAGCAATGGTAATCTTAGTTATAACTTAGTTTGAAAGCCCACATAAACACTCTATTTGGAGGACTTGCCCTTGAAGTCTGACAGCAGCTTGAATTATTTGCTATTCATCAAAACAATAATTTTCAATTATGGGGTATTCACTTACATTAAAAGTAAGTAACTGTTGATGCCTGTATCTGTTTAACCACAGCTTGGGTATCGTTTGAGAGGACAGAGCACATCATCAGAAAGGAGACAAAATATTCAAAGAAAGCAAGACAGTAAAGCAGGGACCACAGCACAGATAAACAGACCTGACCAGAGTCCTGAACAGCTGTATTTTGAGGTATTGCTTTTTGAACTTTGTGTGTACAATGCGAAAAATATTATTTATTTATATATATATATTATATATATATATATATATATATATATATATATATTTATTATAAAATTTTTTTTTTTTTTTTTTTTTTTTTTTTTTTTTTAGATCACAATAGGGCTCCATACACACTAGCGTTTATTAGAGGCTCAAAAAATGCTACAAAAAAAAGCTTAATGAAAAACATTGATCATAGCGTTTTTGTTCCGGCTTTTAGTAGTGTTTTAGGGGCATTAACGTTTTTACAGTGCATAAAGAATAAAAAAAAAAACCCTGTAAGGTGCGTTTTAGTAGCATTTATGAACGCTCTGTGTTTTTTTTTTTTTTTTTTTTTTTTTTTTCTTTCTGCCAGGAAAGCGCTCCCAAAAACGCTACAAAAACATTTTTTTTTTTCTGCTCCTAAATGCTAAAATAAAATGGTGGACATAGGTTAACACTATCAGCTTCTCGGAGCTGAAAAAATGCTCTAAAAGACAACGCAAATAGCTTGTCTCAGTATTTAAAAATCTTTGGTTGCACCCTTGATAGCTGACTCTTAGCCCCTGTTCACATCAAGCCCGACTTTGAAATCGTGAGACTTACGGTGAAGTCGCATGATTTCAAAGTCAGGGGGTCCGCCGATTTCAGGTGCGATTTGCAAGACATCTGATACAGATGTCCATGCAAATCGCACAAAAAGTACTGCATTTACTACTTTTGAATTCGGTGCGGCTTCCACCAAGTCGGAACTGTTGAAGTTGAGGGCATGCAAATCGCATGCCAAGTTGCATCCAGTTTGAACCAGGGCTTAGGGTTTTTTGCACATGGGCAGCTGAGCCTGTGCAATGCAATTGTCACCATATTTTTCACCCAGGCAGCCCAGGTGCAGCGTATAGCTCCCATGAATGACTGCACTGCTGTACTTTTTTTTTTTTTTTTTTTTAATGGCTTTGCTATCATAAACAGTAATGTAGTGTACAGACATACTGTATGCCAAAAATAGTTTGTTTTTTTTTTTTTTTTGCATATGCCAGTGCGCTATACTCATGTTTATGATGGTACTGCACAGCCATTGATGTCTGTGGGAGGCTGTACCTTGCACCTGGGCTGCCTGAGCTCAGGCAATACACAGGCAGTTATGTTTAACAGGCTCTGCCACCAGTGTGAAAGAGCCATTATAGTTGCCATGTCCAGACTGTAAGAATTCCAGAGGCATCTCCAAGATAAATTTGTGGCCAGAACCAGTGACTTGATGTAGTAGAGCTGCCTAATGGAAGTTGGGGGTGTCCTGGCTTCTAGTGACAGTTTGTACTTACAATATGGCCAACAGAAGGAATCAAGTGCTCTCATTTTACGATCATTTAAATTTTAGGAACTGTATAAGCTGCTAGTAAATTACAGTGAACATGCCCTCATGGTATACACATTAGTTAGTTTTGGATGGATTGGGGAACCATTAAAAATTTAAAATCAGATTTTTTTTTTTTCGTCTTTTTACCCCATTGGGGAGATTTTACCTTAGTTTCTGTGCCTTTGGCTCTTGTGCAAGAATTAAAGCGGTTCTCCACTCTGGAATCAAACAATAAAAGTCAGCAGCTACAAATCTTGTAGCTGCTGAATTTTAATAATCGGACACTTACCTGTCCATGGATCCAGCGCTGTCCCAACCCAGGCTAGTTCCTTACTATCCTTCGGGGTGGGCATCTGGCTGCGCTGCTTGCGGGCTCACAGCCATCTTACTATTGCAGATGCGCGAGCCCCACGCTTTGTAAAGTGTCCCAGATAATTGTGCGGACCCCCCCCCAAAGAAAAGATGACATGCCAAATTAGACGAGGGGTAGAAGGACTTAATGTGTGACCCCCCCCCCCCTTTTGGTTGAAGCTCCGCTTTAAGGGGGGAAAAGCTTGTGATCAGGACAGGAAGAAACTGATGGCTATAAAAAATATTGTGAGTTTTAATACCTCATCACTTTACTAAAAAAAAAAAAAATATTCTTATGTTTCCCCATTGCAGAGATTTCCCATAACTTCTTATACTGGCAGGAATTGAGAGACTTCTCTTCAATGGGGACAGGGATAACATTAACTTTTCCTGCTCTATCCACAGCTAAAATAAAATATTTTGGATGGAATTGGGCTTAAGGGTCAGGAGGTGCGAGCATGTGCGCTTCCGCTCCTCCCTCGGCGTCGTGTGCACAGTGGACTGTTTGTTTAAATGTTTGTCCTCTTCATGAAAAGTGCACAAAAAAGTGCATGCATGCATGATTTTCAAAATTCTGCTGTGGTGCAATGTGTTTTGGTAAACACCCACATATATGTTAGATGCGTGGGGGGTGCTATTAAGAAATAAGAGCTCTGCCACATGTCTGTGCAAAACTGCGCTTTCTCTCAATGCAGAAATATACGCTACCACTTTGCACATTCCAGCAATGCACTGGTGTGAACGAGCCCTTAAAGCAGAACTCTAAGAACATAATAGTTCAGCCCAAAAACTTTTTTCCCCTTCAAAAGCATGCACACTGTCCCCCCTCCCAAGATTTATTTATTTATTTTTTTTTACTACCATAGTACTGCATTATAGTGTAAGCGGTATATTAAGAGTTGCAACTGTAGATAATGGTGTTATAGTTCCTGAAAATACATTTCACATTTCTTAATACTCTATTACCTATTTTAGGATGAAGATGAATTTCCAGAATTGAACAGCAGCAATGGGAGTTCTAGAAATGAGAGCACACAGCCAAAGATGAACACAAAAGTGGTAAGTGGCTCAGCTCATAGTTTAACCACTTCCCGTCTGGCCCATGTAAATAAACGGCCGGACGGGAGCAGTGCAGGGGCGGGTTGGAGCGCGCAGCACCGCAATCCGGTACTCGCTGTCTACGAACACTGATCGCTGTACAGGACCTCTGTATGAGGTCCTCAGCATGTGATCACTGATTAGCCAATCAGTGATCACATGAATAGTAGTAAGCAAGATGTCACTTGCTGACATCATTGCTTACTACTAGTGAAATAAGGTCACATGGTACAAGACTATTCACAACAGCCTTGTATCATGTGACAAGCTGTGACCAATCACAGCTCACACAGTATTTCTCAATGGTTGCAAGAATGCAGCCAGAGAGGAGGAGAAATTATTGCTTTTACAGCCCTTATGGGTGTAAAAGCAATCTGTATAAAAGAAAAAAAAATCTTCATCACCCCCCCACAAGTAGATTGTCACTATGGTGACACTGTACTGCTAGGGTGACAGCATGTTAAAAAAAAAAAAAAACCCACAAAAACCCAAATAATAAAAAAAAATTAAATTAAAACGTCAATTTTGTAATTTTTGCTCATAAACTAATTTGGGTAATTATTTATTTTTTTTTTTTTACTAAAAAGATAGATGAATACATTTTGGCCCAGATTTATGAAGAGATTATTTATTTGCAAAATTTTATAAGCAAAACACTTTTTTTTTTTTTTTTTTCAAAATGTTTGGAATTTTTCATTTATATAGGAAAAAAAATTTAAATCCCAGTGGTGAATAAATATCACCAAATAAAGTTTGACCTGTCTCAAAAACATGCTAAAAAATTAATATGGGTACAGTGTTGCATGACTGCGCAATTGTCATTCAAAGTGTGATGGCGGCTGAAAGCTGAAAATTGGCCTGGACAGGAAGGGGGTGAAAGTGTCCGGACTGGAAGTGGTTAAAATAAGATTAGACTTGTACAGCAGTTTTATACAATTGAAGAAAAAATCTGCATAATTGAGTGGTAGTTTTCCATCTATTAACTCTGCAACATCTTTTGTTTTCAGTTGGATGGTTTACCTGAAAATTCTCCAATTAGCATTGTTCAGACCCCAATCCCTATCACAACATCTGTACCAAAACGAGCTAAGAGTCAGAAGAAGAAAGCACTTGCTGCTGCATTGGCCACTGCCCAGGAGTATTCCGAGATTAGCATGGAACAGAAAAAACTTCAGGTTTGTTACAGATTTATGCATGAAAAAAGAGTTAATACCACCAAGGAAAAACATTGTAATTTTTAGTTCTGGGTTTTTTTTTTTTGTGTTTTTTTTTAATCTTATTGAGATTATACATTTGGAGGCAAGATTTCATTGGATGGTTGTATGCTCTTAGTTTCAATTTTTTGTTTCTTAGGTGTCCAGTAGATAGACAGGCTTTCACACTGTCATTGGGAAATTGGTCATCCTTGTCTCTATTGCAGACTTCATATCCGTTTATCTCCCTGAAAAATGTGGCAGATTGATTATAAATCTTTACTGTTTGTCTGCACAGTCTTAGAGCATGAAATCACAAAGCCTGTGGTGTTGTTAACCCTGCCTACCTTAACTTGGTGGTGAACCCTTCCATATACCCAGTGAAGTGACTGACCCCAGGTGATACACAGATATGAAGAAATCCTCCTACATGAGTTGTACCTATCTGCAGTCTTCTCTTCTCTACAGCTATTCAAAGTGCTGAATTTATAAAGCTGGTCTGAGAGTTTAGAAAAAAGGGGGCTGAGAGCTGAAGTTACACTCTGCAGAGCTCAGTGAGGAGAGGGAAGAGACCCACCCCATTCCACACAGCTCACAGGAATAGATCTAAGGCTGTCAATCTGCTAGAAGTCTCTCCTGTCACCTTTATTTCTTGGTGTCCCAAAAGCTTGTCGGAAGTGAGTCATACTGGCTGCACAGGAACAAAGCAGCAGGCAGAAATGACACATAGTGCTTTGGATAGAGACAAGTACACACTACAGAGGGATATGCCTTGTTCATATTTCATGTCTGAGGTTTATAACCACTTTATGCAAAATCTCATTTATTTTTTATGGTTATTTGCCCAAAGGTGACTGAAGTATTTTTTTTTTTTCTTTTTACAAATAGACTGTGTTGTTAGGGGTGAGCATGGGCCGTTTGATCACCAAATATCACCTTGCTTTATGTTTATAACATAGGAAGCTCTATCTAAAGCATCTGGAAAGAAGAGCAAGACTCCAGTACAGTTAGACCTTGGAGATATGTTGGCAGAACTGGAGAGGCAGCAACAAGCAATGAAGGCTCGTCAGATAACGAATACCAGACCTTTATCATACACTGGTATGGAATCTTTCTTGTTTCAGTTGTTACAGCATTTAATGTCTTCTTTTTTTCTTTTTTTTTCTGTGCCTTATTTATGTTTTTTTCTAGTTTGCAAGCAGGCAAAGTTGTCTAGCAAAAGTGTTAGTGACAGGAAGTGGCAGAAGTTTGTACGATCTATGAGACTGCCAGGAATGCTTGAGTTATATCTCCTGGCAGTGTTATTTGTTTCTATTCAAATTTACAAAAAACTGTCTCTGAATTCTAGAAAATAATTTTATAAAAAAAAAATCTAACACTTATAATGATTAGCTTGAGGTTTATAAGGCCTCAGATGAATTGAAAAGTTAGAATTTACAGATGAGGATCCCAACTATCGAACTGAATGAGTATGTACAGCTGGTGGTGGATGTTTCTAATGTTACTAAAGACAAGGTGTGTCCTGAAGTGTAAACTTGTGTAATTTTGGTCCCCAGGTGATTCAGACAGAAAAATATTAGCTTTTATGAAGCAATGTATTGGTATCTGTGCAGTGCACATGCTTGAAGGAAGAGCGACAGTGGATTACAGAGAGTGCTTCTCTTACATCATGTTCTGTTAGTGCAAGTTCTTATTTTTAATTATATGCAGTTTCTGGTTATTTTCGATATTTTGAAAAAAACAGAATCTATTAATCTTTACTGGGTGCTATTTCTGTCTGCTTCCATCCCTTTTGGGTCATGCGGTTCCGTGCCTGTGCGACCTTTCCTTCTTTCACCCTAAAGAAAAAATAGTCTTGCAGTTTTGCAAGTAAAGGGAATTTTTACGAAGGCTTATTGAGAAAAGCCATGCATGCGCAGTACTGCATGGCTCTGTCATGGGAAGGGAAGAAGCACTGCCTGGCTTGGTGTAGGTTGGGCTTCTACACTGGGTTGCCCACTAATTTGAAGAATATACAAGAGGGGGTATAAATAGTCCTGGCAAGGAGCGGGGTCCGTTTAGAACTGGGTATTTTAAAATCTAATATAAAATATGTATCCCCTAACTTCAGGTAGATTGCTTTGGAAATTAATAGACTTGTGCAGTTTTGGAAGTATATTTTTATATATCAAGATCAAAGCACACAAGTCCCAGGAAAACACAAAATTATTTAGGTTTCTATAGAGCAATCTGTCTTTTTGTGTTCCATTAACCACTTCCCGACCGCAATGTACTGCAGCTGGGCGGCAGCTACAGGCAAAGCGTCGTACCCATACGTTGCTCTGTCTGTACTAACAAAGGGAGGCTCTCTACGGCGAACACAGCTGAATGAAGATCCTGGTGAACGGGACTCGGTGATCATGTGATCGCTATGATCATATGATCACAATGTAAGCAAAGCTGTTATGAATCAATCTCATTCATAACAGCTCTGCTACTCCTCCTAGTGAGCTCTGGTTGTCCCACAGATGTCTCATGATACATGGGGCCAATCGGAGCACCCTGTACCATGTGACCAGTTCCAGCCAATCACAGATCACTATCTTGAGCTGTCAAAAACCTAACTCATTCATGACAGTTCATGAGTTAGTTAGGTTCATGACAGCAAGCTTTGCATTGCAGGAGAAATGATCTTTATTTCTCCTGCAAAGCAAAGTGTAAACAGCGTCAGTAAGTGCCCCTCCCAGCCAGGGTCATCTAGCGTTAGATTGTCCGCACACAATTCGCATGGAAACCTATCACGGTTTCTGAATTTAAAACTTTTTTGGGCCAACCCTCAACATTGGCATTACAAAAAAGAATGAATTGCTGTCATATTGGTCCACAGAGCCACCTTCCACAGTTTTCTTGGGCTCTACTGTCCCACAGGGAAATCCAAGATGGCAGCCAGCATATCTGCTGGCTGACCATAGAGCTGATCAGAGGGGAGGTTTGTACTATCCTTGTATTTCAGGACCTCCGAAACTGTGATAGGTAGTCAGGAAGTGTAATGAGGAAATAAAGCCCTTTAAAAGCCTGAAGGTCCTTATTTGATTTTGGGGTCCTGTACACGGCTAGGCTCTCAAAAAGTCTCACATGTGGTACCCCCATACTCGGGAGAAGTAGCAGAATGTATTTTGGGGAGTAATTCCACATGTACCCATGGCTTGTGTGAGCAATATATCATTAAAGTGACAACTTTGTGTAGTAAAAAAAAAAAAAACTAAATTTTTGTCATTTTCCAAAAACTTGTGGTAAAAAAATAAACTCTTCTAGTGACTCAACATGCCTCTGAACAAATAGTTTGGGGTGTCTACTTTCCAAAAAGGGTCATTGTGGGGGGAGGGGGGCATTTTATGCCCAGCATTAGACGTTTATGCCACGCATCACTCGCTCTTCTAACGATCTGAAGACCAAGCCTTTTCTGACGCTTTTTATTCACATAAAAAAATCAGTATTTATTGTTAGGAAATTACTTTGAACCCCCAAACATTTGTATATTTTTTAAAGCAGACACCCTAGTGAATAAAATGGTGGGTGCTGCAATTTATGTCACATAATACTTGCACAGCAATTTTTCAAACGCAATTTAAAAAAAAAAAAGCACTTTTTTTTTACTTTTAATGCACAAAATCACAATATATTGGCAGATTTATGTTGTACCAAACAAAGATGATGGTATGTCGAGTAAATAGATACCAAACATGACATGCTATGGTGACAAACTGTATACATTTTTAATATTCATAGGCAACATTTTAAAAGCTTTTACAGGTACAATTTTAGATTTACACAGGAGCTCTAATGCTAGAATTCATCCATGGTGCAACCGCTGTTTATATACTGACACTTGTGCATGCAGGGTGCTTTTTTTTTTTTTTAGTTTAGTTATTTTGATTTTTTGTAAATTATTCTTACACTGTCCCTTTTTTTCATTTTTTTTTTTTTTTTGGATCACTTTGATTGTTATCACAGGGAATGTAAATATCCCCTGTGACTGCAATGGGCATTGACAGGTATTCTCTTCTGAGAAATCTGGGGTGTATTAGACTCTACACCAGCGTTTTTCAACCACTGTGCCGCGGCACACTAGTGTGCCGTGAGATATTGTCTGGTGTGCCGTGGGAAAAATTGCAATTTCATCCGTAACATGTGGCCTCGGCTCACAAATAGACCAATCATTAGAACAGCAATGGGCAAACTACGGCCCGCGGGCCGTATACGGCCCGGCGGACCTTTTAATCCGGCCCGTGGAGCGTGATACTGTCAGGATGATCTGTCCCCCTCGACGTATCTGCGCATGTGCCGGAGATCGCCGATCGGCTGCTAATGCCTGAAACGGGCACATGCGCAGATACGTCGAGGGGGACAGATCCTCATAGGAGACAGATTTTCATGCTACACCGGAACGGCGAGAGGAACGCGCGGAGCAAAGGTAAGTGAATTGACACGGGGGGCTTGGGGACTTAATGACACAGGGGGGGCTTGGGGATGAATTAATATGGGGGATGAATTACTATATGGGGGATGAATTACTATATGGGGGATGAATTACTATGGGGGATGAATTACTATATGGGGGATTAATTACTATGCTTACTATGGGGGAATATTACTATACTTACTATGGATGACACATACACATCATTCATCTACTCTTGGTCCGGCCCCCGGGTCCAATTATAAAATACTTTATTATTTCATAATAAAGTAATTATAAAATAATTTCTTTGTGTTTGATTCCTATTCAAGAGAATTACTTTATATATAGTCAATATAGGCACAGAGGTAAATTTTTTTAACATTTTCTAATGGTGTGCCTCGTGATTTTTTTCATGAAAAAAGTGTGCCTTTGCACAAAAAAGGTTGAAAAACACTGCTCTAGACATCCCCTCTACCCTTACATCATCTGATCTCACCAAGATCGGTGTGATCAGATGCTTTCCCAATTTACAAATGGAGCTGTTTATATCCTGCAAAACTGAAGTGATGAAACGCTCGTTGCTTCCAATTTCTTATACTATAGAAATGATTGGCACCATTCCGGGGGGGGGGGGAGGGGGTTGGCGCAAATCCTGTAAAAGCAAACCTGCAGCAGGCATCATATTAGTGTAACCACTCAAAGTCCACTGATGTACCAGTACATTTCTGGTCCTTGTTGGGTATATATGCTAATTTTTTTTTTTTATGCAGCCTGTGGGCTGAACGAAAAAAAAGAACCTAACAGATTCCTCACATTGATGGATGTGGATGAAGAAATCGCTGTCAAAATTTTTTTTTAAAAATATTTGTCGACGCATAAGGGCCATCCACTCACTGGCCACCCCAGGCCACCATGCTTGGGCATATGCTCTTTTTTTTTTTTTTTTAACTGCAAATGAAAAATCTCATACAACAGTGCTGCCCACACTTATATTCCAGGAGCAAGACCCTGTTGTCAGAATAAACAGATCGGTGCTGCAGCTGAATGGCATTCCTGCAAAGAAAACTGCAATGGTTAACAGTAAAACCATAACTCGACAATAAAACTATTTTTGTTTTTTAATTTTAAATTTTTTTTTTTAAACGTTTAGCCAGATGTCAGGGTCTCTCAAAATATGATAACCAGTTTCCTGACTACCTAACATTTTTCAAGACCCTGTGCATACATGTGCCCTAGGCTGTGCCATGCTGTACCCTATACTAATAGACCACTAGTGTATGGTAGCGACGGAAGCAGTCCTTGAGGCAGAGACCAGGTTGGCCAGGACAGGAGGGACAAAAAAAGCGAGTGTCACTCCTAATTATGTGTCTGCTACAGACACGGCATCTTTTTTGGGGTGACTTTTGGATTAGGGTACCAGGAATGGCATCATGAAAATGCCAGCTCACTGCATCTGTGTTGGGGGGGTTTGGGCCACAGCACCTTCAAAAGGGTCGTGTTGATCTCTTCCTAGTATTTTAGGAAGGATCCACGTCGTCAAGTTGCTTTGTAAAGCACAAAAGTGTTATATTGAGCAAATTGAAATAAATAGACACTTCTTTTTTTTTTTGTACCAGCGTCTGGCTTTTCGGGAAACTAAGTACAGCTTCATCATTGGTTCTTGGAAGTCCACCCCTCCCATGTTAAGGTTATAGTGGTGGACACAGAGAGGCTTCTCAAAAACATTGTGGAAATTTGGATGGTCGTATCTGCGTGAATGGAAAACAGGACGAAAACATCCCGTTTGTCCTTCCACTTCCCTGCGAGTAATTCATCATTTTTCAAAAAAGCTTTTTCCCCCTTTCTAAGAGGGGTATTTACAAGCCATTGGGGGAAGCCCCGGCAATTAGGTCACACGGTGCCACATGCGCCAATTTCAAGTTTGTATAAATGTCTAAATCGTGGCACGCTTGAATAAAAATTGTCCACGTATAAGTGGTACCCCATATGGAAAAAGGATTATATCAAGTCCCAAACTATCTTGCCATTGCTCCCCATGTAGTCTGGGTATCAGGGGGGCTCCACATGACTATCTTTTTCCTCGTAAATGCAAAAATTACATGTACAGGCTGTTGCCCTCTCACAGGTCTTATACATTTTGACCCCATATTTGGCACGCTTGCTGGGGAGAATTTGTCTGAATGCAAGGCGGCCAGAAAAACTAATGAGGGACTCATCAACACAGATGTTTTGCTGGAGAGTATACACATCTGCAAATTTGTGGTTAAGATGATTTACAATGAGCCAAATTTTGTGGAGCCAGTCAAATTCAGCGTCACCCCAAGGATGACAGAGTGTATTGTCATTGAAATATGTAAATTGCATTATTTTCTCATATCTATGCCTGGTCATGGCAGCAGAGAACACGGGCATATGATGAATCAGGTCTGTGGACCAATACAACGCAATTCATTTTTTTATTTTTTTTTTGGAAAGGCCCATGTTGAGGGTTAGGCCCAAAAACCTTTAAATTCTGAAACCGTAATCGCTTTCCATGCAAATGGTCTGGCAAGATTCGAATTTGGGTTGGCTGTTGTGCATATAAATTGCTTTGATCCACAATTGATCCATACAGATCTTCTGTGAAAAACAGCTGAAAAAAAAAATCAAGGGGAGTATTTAAATTAGCTGTTTCCACCTGAACTCTGGGTTGGGCAGTGAATGGGGGAAGTACGAGTGCTGAAGAATTTGTGGGCTGCCAGTCAGGATTTGCAAGCACATCCTGAACGACGCTAGGGGCCCTACGGGCCTGTGTTCGGATTCGTGGTGGCTGCAGGACACTACTTGTGCTCACCACCGCACCAGCTTGTACTGCACTTATGGGACTCCCAACATCACCAAGTGATACTGCAGTGTTGGTATGTGAAAGACCAGGATGTACTAGGCCGCTGGTGCTCTGTAGTTCACCAAAAGGTAGAGCAGCACTAGTACTGGCACCCTGCTGCAAATGAGAATCATCATGCAATTGTAACATCTCGGCAACCTGGGAACGGGGTCGGGTATGCCTGACCTTAGCAGGGACCTCTTCTCCATCGTCTGAACTATCTGTCAGGGTGCCGCTGCTGTCTACAGGTTTGCATTCTGAGCCTGATTGTGTCAGTGAGGCTTCCCCTTCGCTCTCACTTGACATGGTCAGAATCCTGTAGGCCTCTTCACCTTTTACCTTTTGTTGGACATTTTGGTCACTAAATTTATAGGTGCCTAGTGCGACCCACGGGAAAAGGAGCACCTGGCTATCAGGGACTGGTTGAACCGCTACCAAAAAATTACCTGCAAGTGCTAACAGAGATCAGGCCTGATTCTGTGAACAGTGTGGTTTTATGTGCAATGTATCAAGTGACAGTGATGTACGGACACTGCACTTGCTGGGGAAGCGTAGGGGCTACACGCAGGTGCTGGGGCTGATCCTGCTAACGTTGCGTTTCGGGGACACTATACTAATGTGAACGCTGGTATAGTGCTGATCTGATCAAAGCTAATGATCCGTTCAGACACTTTATTAGCAATGGAGATTTATTGTGTATGTGAGCGTGTTCCTGGCAATCAAAGGGTTAAATGTGATGCCTGATATAGTGGCAGGCAATCGGATGCTCTCTAAAGTCGACGGTGACACTAATACAGTGATCAGTGAAAATAATCTGTACACTGAACTATTGACACTGGTGACTGGGGGCGATCAGGGGGTTAAATCTGACCTATCAGTGATTTTACTGTAAAAGTGTGCTGCTTTTGACGTGGATCTGCTTTCTTTGCTCTCTGGAACGGAATGTGCCCAGGGAGTGAAGATTGCATCATTTCCTGTACCTGTGTAAATGTAAATACGGGTACAGGAAGATCTGTGATAGGGCAAGGATCAATCAGCAGATCCAGGCCGAACATCACTGGCCTGAATATGCTGATTGATTGGCTGGGCACCGAATCACGGCACCGCCTGGTCAGCAAGGGCGCGCGTGCACCCATGGCCTGTGATCACAACGGGAGCATGAATCAAGTATACCGTATTTTTCGCTCCATAAGACGCACTTTTTTCCCCCCAAAAAAGGGGGGAAAATGTCAGTGCGTCTTATGGAGCGAATGTGGAGCGGCCGGTCCGCTATTTCCACCGCCGCCGTGTCAGAATACCGGGCCGGTCCGCTCAGCTCTGCAGCGGGTCCTTACCTGTTCCTCTATCCAGCGGTGCGCTGTCTTCCCGGCTTCTGTAGTGTGGGCGCTCGGCTTAACAGCCGGGTGCCAATTGCGCATGCGCAAGAAGCGGTGCTCTTTGTGAATGGTAAGGTGGCACCTGGGACACATGACAGATCCCAGAAGCCGCTGGACCAATCACAAAGCGCAGCGCTTCTCGCTCATGCGCACTGGGCACCCGGCTGTCAAGCCGAGCACCCACACTACAGAAGCTGGGAAGACAGCGCGCAGCTGGATAGAGTAAATTCAGGTAAGGTCCCGCTGCAGAGCGGACACTAATTAAAGAACAACTCCGCGTAAGTAAGAGCGGGTACCTGTCAAATTCAGGTACCCGCTCCCCCCCTCTCCAAAGGTCAGCAGTCATCTTCCTGTACTGTCCGCAGTCCCTGGTCATCTCCTGTACTGTCCGCAGTCTCTGGTCATCTCCTGTACTGTCCGCGGTCTCTGGGCATCTCCTGTACTGTCCGCAGTCTCTGGACATCTCCTGTACTGTCCGCAGTCTCTGGTCATCTCCTGTAGTATGTCCGCAGTCTCTGGTCCATCTCCTGTCAGTCTCCTGTAGTGTGTCCGCAGTCTCTGGTCATCTCCTGTAGTGTGTCCGCAGTCTCTGGTCATCTCCTGTACTGTGTCCGCAGTCTCTCCTGGTCATCTCCTGTACTGTGTCCGCACTGTGTCCGCAGTCTCTGGTCATCTCCTGTACTGTGTCCGCAGTCTCTCCTGGTCCATCTCCCATGTACTGTGTCCGCAGTCTCTGGTCCATCTCCTGTACTGTGTCCGCAGTCTCTGGTCCATCTCCTGTACTGTGTCCGCAGTCTCTGGTCCATCTCCTGTACTGTGTCCGCAGTCTCTGGTCCATCTCCTGTACTGTGTCCGCAGTCTCTGGTCCATCTCCTGTACTGTGTCCGCAGTCTCTGGTCCATCTCCTGTACTGTGTCCGCAGTCTCTGGTCCATCTCCTGTACTGTGTCCGCAGTCTCTGGTCCATCTCCTGTACTGTGTCCGCAGTCTCTGGTCCATCTCCTGTACTGTGTCCGCAGTCTCTGGTCCATCTCCTGTACTGTGTCCGCAGTCTCTGGTCCATCTCCTGTACTGTGTCCGCAGTCTCTGGTCCATCTCCTGTACTGTGTCCGCAGTCTCTGGTCCATCTCCTGTCTGTGTCCGCAGTCTCTGGTCCATCTCCTGTACTGTGTCCGCAGTCTCCCATGTACTGTGTCCGCAGTCTCTGGTCCATCTCCTGTACTGTGTCCGCAGTCTCTGGTCCATCTCCTGTACTGTGTCCGCAGTCTCTGGTCCATCTCCTCCTGTACTGTGTCCGCAGTCTCTGGTCCATCTCCTGTACTGTGTCCGCAGTCTCTGGTCCATCTCCTGTACTGTGTCCGCAGTCTCTGGTCCATCTCCTGTACTGTGTCCGCAGTCTCTGGTCCATCTCCTGTACTGTGTCCGCAGTCTCTCTCTCCATCTCCTGTACTGTGTCCGCAGTCTCTGGTCCATCTCCTGTACTCTCTCTGGTCCATCTCCTGTACTGTGTCCGCAGTCTCTGGTCCATCTCCTGTCCATCTCCTGTACTGTGTCCGCAGTCTCTGGTCCATCTCCTGTACTGTGTCCGCAGTCTCTGGTCCATCTCCTGTACTGTGTCCGCAGTCTCTGGTCCATCCATCTCCTGTACTGTGTGTCCGCAGTCTCTGGTCCATCTCCTGTACTGTGTCCGCAGTCTCTGGTCCATCTCCTGTACTGTGTCCGCATCTCTGGTCCATCTCCTGTACTGTGTCCGCAGTCTCTGGTCCATCTCCTGTACTGTGTCCGCAGTCCATTGGTTCAGAATATTTTTTTTCCTGTTTTCTACCTCTAAAACCTAGGTGCGTTTTATGGAGCGAAAAATACGGTATATATACGTGATTTTGCGCAGGGAGTTTTTATATATTGAAAAAAAAAATAGAAATAAAAAAAAAATGTTAAAGGAGGGTTAATATGGGTTCTCACCTCCATTTACATATGAATGAAATAGTACCATTGTTACACCATAACACTGATAAGTGTTGTTTTACATGTAATGCATGGCAGCTCCCTGCTGTCATTTTTAATGGTTGTTAATTGCCATTCATAGCAGTGACAGAGAAGAGATGAACATGGGGAATGCATCCTAGACTATTTGTTGAGGAATTTTAGGGAGCGTCTCCTGGGCTCAAGGTTTTTATGTGAAAAAACTTCAAGGTGCAGAAGTTGAGCCTTCTAATACTCATGCTACCTTCACATAACATGTTGTTCTGGTTTATTAACTTAAGACTGAGACAAATGTTTATTTTTCATCAGTTGGCAGTGCTGTTCCCTTTCACACCAAAGAACACACAAACAGGAATGTGTTTACAAAGGCCCAGACGTTCATGGGTTCTCCAAATCCTTTGGACTCCACTGCTCCAAGGATCAAAAGAGGAAAAGAAAAAGAAGTTCCAAAATTAAAACGTCCAACTGCTCTGAAAAAGGCAAGTGTGTTTCGTTTGAATGTTAGCGGCATTCCTGCACCACGGCTCCAAGGCTCTGCGTTTCTCCCTAGTTAGGACGCTGTCTATGTGGAATTTATATGTTCTCACTGTAGTTATCTTTTGTTTTATTAAAAATAATAAGAGCTTGGCACTGTTGTCTGTAACAGGCACCCAGGTTCCAGCTTTTATTTTCATTACATTACATGGTTAGAAAATGAAGTTAATTACCAGATTGATTGGTATGAGTAACATATTTGTTGTTCATTTCTTCTGGGTTTAATAAATGATGTGCTGGAAAGCTTTATTTTTATATTGTTTATTGAGAGGCACAGCTTGATAGTAGGATACCTAGGGTTATGCTGCGCCACACACAATAAATGGATGCTAGACACACAGAAAACGAAATGCCGTCCCCCTTAATGTGGCTCTAAAGGCAGAAGATTTTTTACCTTAATGCATTCTCTACATTAAGGTGAAAAACCTTCTGCAAGCAGCTTCCCCTCCCCCTTTACTTAACTGAGCCCGATCTTGATCCAGCGATGTGCATGAGAGCAGAGATATTGGCTCCTGCTGCTGTCAATCACAGCCAGTAGGAAGACATGCCATGCTCTGTGTGCCCATGGCATCTTGATATGGGGGGGAACGGCCAGGAGCACTGACAGGGGATCTCAGAAGAGGAGGATCAGGGCTGTTCTGAGCAAAACCATTGCACAGAGCAGGTAAGTATGACATGTTTGTTACTTTTAAAAAATAAAAACTGAGGATTTACAATCAATTTAAAGCAGAAGTTCACTGCATCTGGGCACCACAAACCAAAAACACTTTTTACTTTCATTTTTAATATTCAAAGCAAACTCCCCCATCCATGTATGTCTCCATGCTTTGTTTTGCTGAGAAATCACTTTAAGCATTTATAGCATCAAGAGGCTGGCCTTCAGATTTCCGTATGTCTAGTGTCCATTTCTCCTGTAGGGGGCAGTGTAACTCTAGGTTTCCTACCATCAAGCTGTGTTACTCAATGGACTCTGAGAAAATGATTTTACACGGAGTACAAATATCCGTTTTCTTGTGGGTGGAAAGAGGCTGATGAATTCTGATTATCTGGAGCATATAACTGACTGGTAAATAACTATTTTTATGTAGATTATCCTAAAAGAAAGAGAAGAAAAGAAAGGACGTATACCTGTGGATCCAAGTGTTTTGGGTTCAGAGGAACAAAAGGATGTTCCTTTAAGCTTTACTGATGATCAGTCAGAAGAGCTGGCATCTCAAGAAGGTAATATAAAATTATTTTTTTGGATTGGATATTTTTTGAAGATGTGTTGCATCCCAGTAACAAAAATGGAATGTTTATGTTGATAAAGCCCCACCAGGATGGTGGGGACTACTTGAAATCTACCATTAACTTACCACAATTCCCTGCATGGCAGATATCAGACAGAAAGAGGGAAGTTGTGAATTGATTACAAAATGGTCACTAGGTAGCCTTATTATATTGCACCCTACTAGCAATCCAACATATCTTAGGCCCATATCACATGGGGTATTGATCAGCAGTAGATCTGTCCGCTGATCCCCTGCTAATCAGAGCAGAGCGGACGGATACCAGGTCCGTGTGTCCGCTAAGTTTTTGCAGAGCGGAGACAAACTGAGTGCTCTGTGGGCGGCTGGATGTAAACTGACTCCACTGTTTGTTTACATATGACTGCCCTCCAATCCAATCTGCATACATGGAGCAGAATGGATTCCTTTCTTTTTTTTTTTTTTTTTTGTATTGGAGGTAGGCGGGTGTAAACAGACACAAGTTCGATTACACCCTTTCGTCCATAGAGGTGAATGGACTGTCTGATCAAGTTCGCCTGAAAAACAGACAGGCAGACCTGATTGGCCCCTTTGTGTGAAAGGGGCTTTAGGCATTGGAAGCTGTTGGGGGACATTTATGCAGCTTACAGAAGGTAAGGAGAAAAGGACCTCAAAATTGTTATTTATTACAATAACAAATTTATGGAAGAGGAGGTCTAAAAATATGTACATCACATAAATAATAATACTTTGCCTCAAATTATTTTTTATTGAGCGTACACATTAATTTGAGCTGTCTAGGATTCGAGGTGTTTTGTTTTTCTTCTTTTTTTTTTGTTTTTTTTTTTTTTACAGATGAGAGACGTTGGTGGTCTCCCTCAGGAGCAGCAGCACAAAATTTTGATAAAGCATACATTCCAGTTTTTTTATATGAAGTGTTTTTTTTTCTGTGTGTGTAAATTGGCAACTAATGCAGCCCTAACATGCTAGGAAAATGCAAATTTTTAAACTGCATTGACTTGACAAACTAAAATATATTTATTGGATGTTTCCCTTAGATGCAGGTCTCAGTGCACCAAGTGACACCTCTCTCTCGCCTGCAAGTCAGAACTCCCCCTACTGTATGACCCCTGTATCACAGGGCTCTCCAGCAAGTTCCGGGATCGGCAGCCCCATGGCTTCCTCAGCCATCACCAAAATCCACAGCAAGAGGTTTAGAGAGTAAGTGTACACTGTGCAGATTCATGTAATGGATTTCTTATTGTCGTATGACTAGGTCTGTTTTGCTGCATGCAATATATAGAATAAGGCTCTACAAAATCCTTTTTGTGGGACTGTGGTAAATATGCTACTGCAAGGGTTGGGTTGAGTTAGGCAGTTATGGCTAATTAAGGTGTTTTGGAGTTTAGGAGGTTAAGTGGTACGTTAAGCATTTAAGTTAAAGGATAAGCTTCATGTGAACTACACTATTAAAATCTAAAAAGTATATGATATGCCTTCCTAAGAAAGCATTTACTACATTTTAGTAGCCCAAAAAATATTCTGTGCCTCCCTCTGCTTTAGTTTATCTGTGGCCTGACTTTTTTAACTTTATGGCTAAGCCCCACCATCTGTCTAATAACTGTGCCTTAGTGGCCAATACAGGAACTTTCATTTAAAATCTAAATGCCTCTTCTCAAAAATAACAAAACAAAAAAACACTGCGCCATTGTCCTTGCACTGCTTCTTGTGTATGTATATTGCACAACACATGAGCCCTGCAGTGTACATCCTATTATTATTATACAGTATTTATATAGCGTTGAAGGGTATGCTCAGCGCTGTACAGTAGCAAGGGGGACAGAACATGAGACAGGACAGTAACAATACAATACACGAGGGGTTCGAGGGCCCTGCTCTTTCGAGCTTACAATCTAGGAGCTTGTGTTTGCTTACAATCGAGCTTACAATCCTAGCTTGTGTTTGTCTGTGGCTATCTATCGGATGAAGAGGGAGTCCTTTGAGAACTGGAAGAAGCAGCGATGGAGAAGGTGATGTCAGACAAAGTGGCAACTGAAGCCTATACCCACTGGAGGAGAAAACTGTGCTATAATGTATAAGTATGCTGTGCACTTTATTGTGAGAACCTCACTCAGCGCAATTTACTTTTGCTTTAAAGAATAGGTGAACAAAGTGCACTTATATTTCTTGACACCTTTCCTGGATCCAACCTAACCCACCCTCCCCTCCACAGATGATTACATACCTCGATCTGACTGCAACAGTTCCACTGTTTGTTTACATTCAGCACTGCAAGTCTTCAGTCTTGTCCTTGCCTGTGCAATAGTTTCATAGACTTCTATAGGGCTGTCTAGTGCCTTGAGACATGTCGCCATAAAAGTCTATAAGGAGCGGACAGGACAGTGAACACTCTCTGGATGAAAACACACAGCGGAACCACAGTCTGCTGATTGAGGTAAGTATCCATCTGTGGAGGGTGGTATAGGTTGGGTCAGGGCAAGACGGTAGAGAGAACAAGTCCTTACTGCATTATACCAAAAATATTCCTATATGATTCCGCGCTATGGTATACAATTATACAAATAGAAATAATACAACCCTAATGAGTAGCCACCACAATATTGCAGGCAACAATATAAATAAAATAATATACAAAGTGCAGCGCTTCAAATAATTATAAAACAAACATAAAAGTCCAATCCATAAGATAGAGGTATAGGGAATGAGTCCCTCTTCCCTGGATCCTCAGCACTACTATAGATGTCTCAAAACGACCAGGAGGAGAAGATAGAAAAATCCACCAAACACACTGCCTTTTACTGGATCATATTGACCCCCAGTTACAGATGGTTCAAACTGTATGAAATCCAAAAGGCAAGCCGTGGACCTGGGCACTCTTTGGTTCCAAACTGTCACAGCAAAAATGAACTTGAAGATATAACCTACAAAAGAATTATCCTCATAGAGGACCACCCCGTTCAAAATGCAGAAAGAATCCTCATAGTGTAGTATAATAAATAGAATTTATTGCCTCAAACATAGTAAAAAACGTACATATAAGAAAATGTAAAACATGTCACCATATAGATAAATGGAAAGTTTCAAAGCAACAAGATGGCTGCCACGCTCCGGTGCGCGCTGACGTCACATGCTCTGGCTCCCCCTACGCGTTTTGTCAATGATGACGTCAGGAGCGTGGACAGCGTCATGACGCAGCGCATACTTATAGGGAGGAGGGGAACCGCCTCCCCTTTCATTCTAATTAGGCGAGCACCGGAACCAGAAAGAAAACATTGGGCACAAGCCACAGGATTGCTGCAGCACATCCTGCCATCAATTAACACTCAATAACCCAAAACAAAAATGCTTGGAAATGATCTTACAAGTTAACTAATTAAAAAATTATAGATCTGCCTTTTACATGCCAGAGAAAAAAGAGCAAGACATCGCGTTACCTGTCATAGTGCCATCTTGTGTTCATAAAAGATATGGCAATTACTAATATAATGAACATGAGAATATCAAAATATTTACATAAATTAAAAATAGATACAAAAGTACCATAAATAAAACATCTCCTTCTGACATAAAAAAGTAAAAATAGTTAAAAAGTAACTAGAAACACCTAACGATTATTGAAGGCATTAGCGTCCCATTCGATTTTGAGACTGTATGGCGTATATGATTTTAAGGTGTAAATCCACCATACTTCCAATTTAGAGATCTCCCGCTTGGTGCAACTGCCCCTCCAGTTCTTAGATAATTTGTCAATACCAACAAACAGGGTTCTTATGGTGAAGAGCATAATGCTTACAAACTGACACAGCCCCCTTTGAAACACTCCCAGCACACAGTTAACCCTTTGATTGCCCCTCATGTTAACCCCTTCCTGCCCAGTGCCATTAATACAGTGTCACTGTTTTTTTTTTTTTTTTTTTTTTTGCACTGATCACTGTGTTGGTGTCATTAGTGACACCAAGTCGGTTCCCTCAGTATCAGAATGTCCACCGCAGTCCCTCTAGAAGTTGCTGATCACCGCCTTTACTAGTAAAAATAATAATAAAAACTAAATTTTATTTTTTCAATTTCTTTTTTACTGGACATGTTTAATAACAAAGTCAAAAATAGTTTTTTTTTTTTTTTTTTTTTTTTTTTGATAAATTGTCAGTTAAAGTAACGCAGTGTGTAATGCAAAAAATGGCCTGGTCAGGAAGGGGGGGGGTAAATATTCATAAGGGCAAGTGGTTAAAGCATTAGTTCATCATTAACAGGAACACTATACTGTCCCATTTTGGTATAGCATCACATTGTGCTAAACCTACCCTCCAGCTAGGACTTTCCTTTTCTGTTCAAAGAATTTTGACCAGCATCCCATTAAAAGGAATCCCCCCATTAAATTCTTCTACAGGCTGTGATAGGTTTGTCTCCCCCGTTATTTTAGGGAAGGTGCAACTGTTGGGACCAGTGCCCCTAGTACCATGGGAGGGAGGCATTGCAGGCTGTAGAATATTTTAATGTGCTTTTGGCCTATATTTTACTTGAAAGGCAGCCCTGGCTGGAAGCTACTGTAGGTATAGCACACTGCTGCTTAACCATAAGGAACAGCAAAGTGTGCTTTTTGGTAAAGGTGAACAAAATCTTTAAAACCCTAGAAAGCAAAAACGATATTAAATTAGTGATATTTGAGATACAAATCTTTTAAAAGGCAAATATATACGCAGGTGTGTATTTACATAATTGTAACCATCCTGAGCAAAAGGATGATTTTGTTTACAAAATGTTTTTTTTTACAGAGTTTTTATCATGTTTAAATGCAAAGCTTGATGTTATGCCCTTTTTAATGTATGTATTTTTGTATGACCACGTATTGGTTTTGTTTTTTTCACATTTGCCTAGGTATTGCAATCAGGTGCTAAGTAAGGAAATTGATGAATGTGTAACTGTTTTACTGCAAGAACTGGTCAGCTTTCAAGAGAGAGTGTACCAAAAGGACCCAGTGAAAGCCAAGTCAAAGAGAAGATTAGTTATGGGTTTACGAGAAGTAACCAAGCACATGAAACTAAACAAGATCAAGTGTGTTATTATTTCACCAAACTGTGAGAAAATTCAGTCAAAAGGTTTGTTACATTTGGTTATGTATTTTAGTTTTTTTTTATTGTACTTTGCTGTACTTACCTGCAGCATAACAAAAAACACTTTTTTTTGTATATAATATGTATGTTAAATTGTTTTTATTTAATTGTAGCCTAAAAAGTGAATATCTTTAAAGGAGCGAATCCATTAGGCAATTTATATAAACTGGCTTAAAGTGGAATTCCAGCTTAAACCTTGCTAGTGTTAAAGATGCTTCCTCCCCACTTCTAATACTGATGACTAAACCTGCGTTAGATGTGTATACTTACCTAATTTTAGCTCGCTCCAGTCTGGTCACAGGATCAGCTCCTCTGTGTCAGCTAGCATGGCTGCAGGAGAGAGGAGGGAGCACTAACAATGGTTTGCCCATAAATCCTTTCGGTGATGTCACTGCTCTAGGCTTTACCTGTCATTGTCAACGTGCTCTCTCCTCTCCCCTGCAGTTGCTGGCTGACACAGGATTACATGACAGGGCCACAATAGGCTGAAAAGAAATAAGTGCATTAGGGTACACTTCTGTAAGTGAGATGTCAAACTCATTTTGTACTTTTTTTTTTTTTGTTTTGCCTGGGCATAATTTTGAAATCCCTATAATGATAATGATTTTCTGCCACAAGTGGGAACTGCCTTCCTTCTTTCTGTGAGAAGAAACAAATGATTGTACACTTTCACCCACTGATTTAAAGGATGCCTTTAGTAAATCCAAATATAAACATTTTATATCGCAGCTTACCAGTTCTTATATGTGCTGGCTGCATTAGATTTCCTTTTTTTTTTTTTTTTTTTTTTTTGTTCAGACTTATTTTCAGCAAGTACAGAAAATAATTGTTGATCTTTTCAAAAATGCTGTGCCTTTTCAGTGTGTGCTGAAAAGAAAGTACAAGCATCCTGATCTATCTTATTAGTCAATCCACCATGTATTGGAGATGAACAAAAGCAGACATGTTTTGAAGGCCAGCATGTGTGACAACCATGGCTCGTCTCCATAAATACAGTGTAGAAGTTAGCCTAGCCACCCAGGGGCAGGATGTGTGTTATGTGCGGATGTACCAGGTGAATATAAAGGGTAAAAGCCTGAAAAATAGAAAACGACTGGTAAATTATAATATTTTAGTTCATGAGCAGAAAGGTGACAGAACCTTTTCAGAAGTGTTTCAAGCTTTACATCACTGCGGCTCCTACATTAAAGTGATTGCAAATGTGAAGTTTATAACAAAAAAAAGAAAAATAACACACAAGAGTTTATACTTCCTTGCACTGTGCAGTGGTACTGCACAGAGAGTACCCGAACCTCCTCTTCTTGGGTCCCCTGCCAACATTCCTGGTTCTTCCTCCCCAGCAAGTGCCCCCATAGAAAGCTGCTTCCTATGGGGCCACCTATAAGGGCTGGCTTCCTAGTCTCACTGTCTGCATCTATAGACACAGACAGCAGGACTAGGGCCCACTCCCTCCTCACTGGCATTGATTGACAGCAGTAGGAGCCAATGCTTAAATATTTTAATGCAAGGAATGCATGAAGGTAAAAATGTTTAGGCTTTATAACTACTTTAATGAATTGCCACCTGACATTTCATTTGTGTTCAGGAATCTAACTTCCCAACAGCTACCAGGTGTCACTGAACACTACCTGTGCAGTGGATGTGACATGAGTTAAGTAAAGTAAGGCACTTATTTCTTCTGGCTGTGTCTGCAGAAATATTGTGTTTTAAAAACCGCTGGTCCCTTCCATCTACTAGGCTGTTTGTATCACTATCCTTCAACAAGTGAGCCATTTGGACTCAAAGTTTTCTTATCTTTTACTGTATTGCATAAACAGAGGTATTTGTTAATATAAATGAATAGTTGTAGTCTTGACAGATTTAATGGATTTAAATATCTTTTTTTTTCATCAGGTGGATTGGATGAGGCCCTCTATAATGTATCGCTATGGCCAGAGAGCAAGAAATTCCCTTTGTTTTTGCTCTGGGAAGGAAAGCACTGGGTCGCTGTGTAAACAAATTGGTACCTGTCAGTGTTGTTGGCATTTTCAGCTACTCTGGCGCAGAGGTAAGATCATTAACTTTGTTGTTTGTTAGTGAAGTCTAACATAGCTGTAACTAGAAGTTCTGAATTCTTGGCTCCACTTATTACCCTAAAATGAGGAATAAAGCCCTTTTCTGTATCATCCATTCATCAACTCCTGAAGAAGGGACGTGTTGGAAGACTTTTCTCAACAGCTGTAGCCGATGTCAGAATACAATGTTCCGGGGGAGGGGATTGCTCCATCTCCAACAAAAAGCCTAACAATCTATGACTAGTTTCACTAGCTTTAGTTGCAGAGCTATGTTTAAGTCTGGAACTGTGGCACAGTCTCAGGTGTGACCTTTTCACTGACAACTTGCTTAGTGAATAAGGCCCATTGGGCAAACGTGCCAGGAACTACTCTACTGTTTTGTGTTGCTGGGTGCCTTTGAAATACACTATTGGTTTTTACGGCAGTAAAAGTTAAGGCTGAATTGATGTAATCCACCAGTTAGTGTTGCTCGTGCACGTCAGACCTGCCATTCACTCTAAAGCGAGTACAACCCGTTGCTGATCCTGAAGCACCACGTGTATCTTAGATCTCCAGTCTTGTTCCATTGCCCACATATGGTGACTTAGTCACCTCCAGCCACCTGAAACTCTCATTAGCATCTGCTGCCCAGGTTGGTTGTTACTTGAGGCCAGGGGCGGACTGACAACTCATGGGGCCCCCAGGATATAGGGGATCATGGGGCCCGTGTCCTTGCCCAAACTCAAAAAAGCCTATGAAAAAGGTAACAGGGGCATCTCATGGGGCCCCCAAGTAACCCTGGGCCCTCGTGCAGTGCCCAAGTTTTCAAATGGTCGGTCCGCCCCTGCTTGAGGCCCTGACTCACATTGGGCCTAGTTGCATACCATTACGTGGTGCAGGTTGTTTTCTGAAGGACACACAGGGAGCGGACACAGGGGACCCTACCACTTCCACAGGTGACCTCAGCCCATACTCCCCTAATGGTTCTGGGGCTGTTTACTCAGTATCCCCAGACGGAATCAAAACTTGTAATACGGAAACAGTAAAGTGGCGATTATTGTGATTATTGCACCACATCCCTTTAAAATTGCAAATAATCAATAGAGAAGATGGGACTTTCAGGGTGCATAGACATGAATACCACAAATTAAAAGTTATATAATTTTTATTTTGTATTTTGGTAAAACAAGAAAGGACAAGATACAAAAACATAAAAACAATTTCAATTCTAAGAATACCAACTGAGATTCAGACTTGGTTAGGTAAATGAAGTATACTTCCTACATGTTTCGCCCTCACGGGCTTCTTCAGGGTAGATTTTTGAGGAAATTTCTACCGCCAAGTCAGTCTAAAAGTATATTTAAAAAAATTGTTCAATTACCAAACAACTTTAAGATATCCAATACAGGGTATTTAATGAAGTATATATACATATATATGGGACTCAATGGCTCACCCTGGATGTGAAAGCTCAGAGCTAGAAGAAAATGACCTAAAAAATCCTAATTGGCCTACATGTCCAAAACAGTTGTAGAGGATATAATGGGCATCAGATATCATCTAGGCACAATGGGATAAACAAAAAAAGATTAATTAAATTTAACGGAAACTATGAAGAGATCATAATTCAATAGGTTGAGATAAACTTTTGGCAATTTTACCTGTTAAATGCTTTAGGATATATAGGTATAACCTAACAAAGATCTATTTGACCTATACGTTCACAACCATAAGAAAGGAAACAATAGACATCAAACATTCATCTAGACAAATTCGGATAGACAAAAATCAGAAATTCATTTAATTTCAAAAAGGAATCAAGAAATGTTAATAAAAATTAACTTAATTGATTTTACCTATGGAAATTGCAGAGAAATATAGAAATATGTTCTGTCTAGAGGTCTAATTGGCCTAGAATGTCCAAATAGGGTTGAAGAATATAATGTGCATCATATATCCATCTAAGCATAATGGGATTAGTTGTAATACGGAAACTGGGACCCCTGTTATAGGGTCATTATCTACATAGTCACCTACAGCTTGTGTGTAGAGGGACCAGATAGAGGAGGGAGCGTACCAACTTCCCCAGCTGATTGCCACTCTGGATATGATGGAGGGACTCTACTCACAGCACTTCTGGCTTTGGTGACCGCATGAGGCAGTGTTCTGTTTTTTTATACAAAACAATTTCCTCTAACATGTGAATGCTATTTATTTTTAGTGTTTTAGTAAAATATTTACTGTGCTGATTCTATTTGCTTCCCCTATTCCCTCTTTTAGCGTCTCTTACAAAAATCTCTTTGTTGGATTTGTCATTTGTTCTTCCTCCAAACCACTGTATTTTTTTTATTATATTATGACCGCACATATGAAATATAGTATAGATAGATTAATGGAAGAATGTTACAATAAGTATCACTTTTCACACAGACCAGTCAATATTAACAAATCTACGTTTAGTCGTATTGAAAGAAAGTTTTTTGTTTTTTTGGGGTTTTTTTTTGTTTTTAAAGGTGTAAATGCAATCTGTAACTCTTCCCCTGATTATAATTTGTTGTTGTGGTGTTTTGTGTTTTTTTTAAAGAGCTTATTTAATAACCTGGTGTCCCTGACGGAAGAGGCCAGAAAGGCGTACAAAGATATGGTGTCCTCGATGGAGCAGGAACAGGCTGAGGAGGCTCTAAAGAATGTTAAAAAAGTCCCCCACCACATGGGTCATTCTCGTAACCCCTCTGCAGCCAGTGCAATTTCATTCTGCAGCGTCATCTCTGAGCCTATATCGGAAGTCAATGAGAAGGATTATGGTATGTTTTTTTGTGAATGGACTTGTTTATCAGTAAGTGTGTGAAATTATTTTAGAAAAATGTGAAACGTAAATAAGGCAGCTTGCTAATGAAATTCTATTGCTATCAATTTTCTGTCTATCTGTAATTATAAAATAGGGATCATATATGTGTTAGGGCAAAGTAAAATTCCAGACAAGCAGCAAGGTCCTGTGTCGACAGGCTTCTGACTTGTGTCAATGAGCACATAAAGCTTTCTTTCAGATGCATCCCACGTGCAATGCTTCTGGGATCACTCAGTGTTCATAGACAGGTGCATGTGACCTGTAGGTAAGATTCCTGTATTTGACCACCTCCTATTCTGCATCAACCTGTTTGAAACTGCTTTTGCATTCTAATTGACTTGTACAAGGAAGTGGAATAGTTTTGAAGTGAATTAAAAATCCACCAACACACTGCTTTAAGCAAATCGTTAAAATAGATTGTTCTTCTACTGCTTGCTTCAGCATTCTTGCTTCCTTAGACAGCTTGCTTTCTGTGCATAGGTAGGGATGCTGATTCATTGCTGATCCAAAGAGCACCTAGAGGGAGAGTAACATGGGAATCTGTATTTCTTAACCAGGTAATGATTGGATCAAGAGAGAGGCTTTGTGGCGCTGCTGTGAAGCTGGGTATAGAGAAGAATCATACGGCTGGCAGAGGAAAAGTGGAGAGCAGCGTCCTAGGCTAATCCAGAGGCTTGAGTAGATTTGGGGTTATGGATGCTACACAAAAACTGGCCCCAGGAGTCAGATGTGTAGAGTATGCAGAGTGGGCTCAGCTGCCGCTCTAGCCACACCCTCTGACGTGTTTCACCCCACCCATGGGGCTGGGTCACAGAGGCCTCTCTGATCCAGCCCCATGGGTGGGGTGAAACGCATCAGATGGGCATGGTTAGAGCAGCGGCTGAGGCCACTCTGCATACTCTACACATCTGACCCCTGGGGCCAGTTTTGTGTGGCGTCCGTAATCCCAAATCTACTCCAGACAATGAGTGGGTCACCTGCCTGACCTTGCAGTGTGGCGGGGTGGGTAATATTTGATATTTACTCAACAAAATCTATCCTCAGGTTAAACCTTAAAGCTGTATTAAACCCAAAAGCAAATATTTAATATATTGCAGCTTACCAATTCTTGAATGTAATGGCTGCATTAGTTTTCTTTTTTAGGCTTGCTTGCTTCTATTTTTATCTGGTAATCCAGCCCATTAAGCTTGTTGTTTTTCAGAGGCACAAGCTCTCTTGCAGATGTATCTGTTACAGGGATGAGACAATCCATATACGACTGACAGGGGTACTTTAAAATGATCTGCTTTTATCTATTCATGTAACCCCTTTATTCCAAAGGGGAAAAAACTGTAACTGCTTAGAAAGTGTTAGCTGTTGTCCACCTTGAATTTGTTGTTTCTAAATCTGCTAGTACATCTAACATTCCCCAGCCTGACAATGCTGCTGTCCAAAGTTCCCCCTGTGCTCATTCATCCAGAGTGGGGCACTCTAAACCCTGGTTTACATATCCGCATTCCTGCAGTCCACGTTTTGTGCTGGCACGAGAGCCCATTCATTTGAATGGGCTCCTGTGCCCCCATGACACGCAGGGAAGAAGTCCCTGCACTTCTTCTGAAAATGCAGCCCGCACGGGAACCTCGGTTCTCAGTACGGTTGCAATTTCCAGTGCAGGCGGTGTGCCATTAGAATTAATGGCACCCGCCCGCGGGTCTGCATTCCTCTTTGCGGGAGGTGCGGCTGCACGGTTTTTTATGCAGATCCGCAGCGGCTCCACCCACACAGATGGGAACCTAGCCTTATACAGGAAGCGTGTTAACGTCCAGGTGAAAACAGAGGGGGAAAAAAGCCTAGAAAAAAAAAAGAAAAACTAATGCAGCCACCACATCTAATGATTGGTAAGCTGCAGTATGAACATTTTTTGCTTTTAGTTTTTATACACTGGTCACATCGGGTGCGACTTGGCATGTGACTTGCAAATCATATGCCAAGTCGCACCCTATTGTCCGCTATTAGAAAGGTCATATCGGTGCAGCTCCGACTTGGTCAGAGCCTCACCGATTTCTAAAGTAGTGCATGCGCTACTTTTGGTGCAATTTGCATAGACATCTGTGTCAAATGTCTTGCAAATCGCACCTCACATCGGCGAGTCACCCCACTTTGAAATTGTGCGACTTTACTATAAGTCGCACGATTTTTAAATCGGCTTTGATGTGACCGGGGTGTAATTTTTAAACCATATGACTTTTCTGTTTTTTGTTTGCCAGGAAGTATGTCTGCGTTTCTTTTGCACTGGTCCCATAGTACTGCGTCTTTTGTTGATCCCCATAGTACTGCGTCTTTTGTTGATCTGGTCCCATAGTACTGCGGCGTCTTTTGTTGATCTGGTCCCATAGTACTGCGTCTTTTGTTGATCTGGTCCCATGGTACTGCGTCTTTTGTTGATCTGGTCCCATGGTACTGCGTCTTTTGTTGATCTGGTCCCATGGTACTGCGTCTTTTGTTGATCTGGTCCCATGGTACTGCGTCTTTTGTTGATCTGGTCGCATAGTACTGCGTCTTTTGTTGATCTGCTCCCATAGTACTGCGTATTTTGTTGATCTGCTCCCATGTACTGTGTCTTTTGTTGATCTGCTCCCATAGTACTGCGTCTTTTGTTGATCTGGTCCCATAGTACTGCGTATCTGCTCCCATAGTACTGCGTCTTTTGTTGATCTGCTCCCATAGTACTGTGTCTTTTGTTGATCTGGTACCATAGTATTGTCTTTTGTTGATCTGCTCCCATAGTACTGCGCCTATCTGCTCCCATAGTACTGCGTCTTTTGTTGATCTGCTCCCATAGTACTGCGTCTTTTGTTGATCTGCTCCCATGGTACTGCGTCTTTTGTTGATCTGGTCCCATAGTACTGCGTCTTTTGTTGATCTGGTCCCATAGTACTGCGTCTTTTGTTGATCTGGTCCCATAGTACTGCGTCTTTTGTTGATCTGGTCCCATAGTACTGTCTTTTGTTGATCTGGTCCCATAGTACTGCGTCTTTTGTTGATCTGGTCCCATGGTACTGCGTCTTTTGTTGATCTGGTCCCATGGTACTGCGTCTTTTGTTGATCTGGTCCCATGGTACTGCGTCTTTTGTTGATCTGGTCCCATGGTACTGCGTCTTTTGTTGATCTGGTCCCATGGTACTGCGTCTTTTGTTGATCTGGTCCCATTTGTACTGGTCGTCTTTTTTGTTGATCTGGTCCCATGGTACTGTGTCTTTTGTTGATCTGGTCCCATGGTACTGCGTCTTTTGTTGATCTGGTCCCATGTACTGCGTCTTTTGTTGATCTGCTGCCCATAGTACTGCGTTTTTTGTTGATCTGGTCCCATAGTACTGCGTCTTTTGTTGATCTGCTCCCATAGTACTGCGTCTTTTGTTGATCTGGTCCCATAGTACTGCGTCTTTTGTTGATCTGCTCCCATAGTACTGCGTCTTTTGTTGATCTGGTCCCATAGTACTGCGTCTTTTGTTGATCTGCTCCCATAGTACTGCGTCTTTTGTTGATCTGGTCCCATAGTACTGCGTCTTTTGTTGATCTGGTCCCATAGTACTGCGTCTTTTGTTGATCTGCTCCCATAGTACTGTGTCTTTTGTTGATCTGCTCCCATAGTACTGCGTCTTTTGTTGATCTGCTCCCATAGTACTGCGTCTTTTGTTGATCTGCTCCCATAGTACTGCGTCTTTTGTTGATCTGCTCCCATAGTACTGCGTCTTTTGTTGATCCCCATAGTACTGTACTGTGTCTTTTGCTGATCTTTTACTGCATCCATAACCTCATGCTAATGGATCCACATTGTCTGTGTTGCTGCAGCACTTTTTTTGTGAGTTAAGATTGATAATGTTTGTGCTTTTCTTTGCCACAGAAACAAATTGGAGAAATATGGTAGAAACATCTGATGGACATGAAGCATCGGAAAATGAAGACTGTTCAGTGAGGACAGTGGATTCAGAACAAACCATTAACATCCAATCTGATAGTAAAGCCAGCATGCATAAACAAACACCAGTGAACCCTCCTGGTGTTACTACCTCAGGCAGTAAACCTTGCAAGTTGACTCCAGTCGAAAAAGAAGAGGTGAAACCAGATGACAATCTGGAATGGGCATCCCAGCAGAGTACTGAAACTGGATCATGGGATGGAAGCGGGAGAGACGTCCTCAACTCCTCCATGACAAGTACTACTAGCACTCTGGTACCAGAAATGCTGGAAGAAGATGATGATGAGGAAGAAGAGGATGAGTATCACCAGGAACCTATTTCAGTAAGCAGAATAGAGTCCTGGGTTTCAGAGACCCAGAGGACTATGGAGACACTTCAGCTTGTGAATAGCCCTGAAGAGGATAATATGGAGCATAGTGAAGATGACGATGATGATGCAGAGCCCTCTGAACATGTAGACCCAGTTGTTGAATGCAAGGAACGGACAGCGGAAAAGCTTCCCAGGAATGGATCGCAACCACAAAGTGCTGGGAGGGGGTTATTAAAAGAGAGCTCTAATTCTAATTTTGTTTAGAAAAAAAAAAAAAAATCATTGAATACAACAAACTCAGGAATTGGTCTTTCTACAGAATTACTGGGAGAATTTCAGCCATTCCCCTACTTGTTTCATCTCATGTTTTGCACTGTTTAAATGTCTAATCTTTATTTAATTCCATGTAAATAATGTTATTTGTTATTAATTGTGTTGTTGCTTTTTCTTTACTTCAGCACTAGAGGGCACAGCAAGGAATGTTTCCGTCTGTCAGGCAAGGAACTGTATGTGCACTTGTGATGCATGTATACACGCACCTACACACGGCCAGCTGCACTACTCTTGTGTGCAGTTCATTGTTGGTGGGAATTTAACAGGAATAAGTTATGACCACATGCTTAAAAGATAGCTAGTTTTAAACTACAAAATAGTTAATATAATTGGGTACGCTATGTTTGCCAGAATGTTGCAAAGCACCGCAAGGGCTGGTGGGAGAGAATTGGCTTCTTTTGTACGCTCCATATGCTAGTAAAGTGGGCACTTACTCGGAGACGGGAAGGCAGTTTCTGCATTTGGGTGGCTTGGCCTGAGAAATGGTCACCCCAGATAGGTCCCCACTTCCCTGCTCTTGTAATTGAAGTAAGCTCCAAGGGGCAGCAGAAAGTCTTGTAGCTTGGCAGTGCTCAGAAGTATATGAGTGTGTATATCTATATCGGTCCTATGCTATCCTATTTATTCTGCCTCCAATCAGTCAGATGCCACCCCCAAGGCACCCATTTGGTCTTTTTCCTTTCTATCCCACTCACAGCACACCCATTGGACTTTTCCTTTCTATCCCACTCCCAGCACACCCATTGGTCTTTTTCCTTGTATCTCACTCCCAGCACACACATTGGTCTTGGTTTCCTTTCTATTCCACTCCCAGCACACCCACTGGTTTTTTCCTTTCTATCCCACTCCCAGCACACCCATCCCCCATCCCGCATCACCCATTGGTCTTTTTCCTTGTATCTCACTCCCAGCACACCCATTGGTCTTTTCCTTTCTACCACATTGGTTTTTTCCTTTCTATCCCATTCCCAGCACACCCATTGGTCTTTTCCTTGTATCCCATTCCCAGCACACCCATTGGTCTTTTTTCCTTGTATCTCACTCCCAGCACACCCATTGGTCTTTTCCTTTCTATTCCACTCCCAGCACACCCATTGGTCTTTTCCTTTCTATTCCACTCCCAGCACACCCATTGGTGTGCTGGGAGGGTGGATTGGATTTGGATTTGACCAGTTTCCCACAGAATTACACGTTTGCTCTTTGTTCTAACTTGTTGTCCATTATGAAATCGCAGATGTGGTAACTCACAAGCTGTCGTTGTACACAGGACAATGTCTTTTGGCACACTGACTTATGAAGGTCGGTGTTCCCTGTGACTGCATGTGCAGCCTTGTGCTGCCATCTCTTGGTGTGTTACAACACTTCAAAGTGCAAAGTCATGAGTGCTGTACTGTAAGAGGCTGGACAATGTCTAGAACCAGAGGAGATGCAGGACATGGAGCATTGTGGCACATAGTTATTTTTCCATTTCTAAGAACTACATATCCCATGGTACCTTGCTGCCTGTAAGCAGTGATTCCTGTACTGGCTCCTCCTCCTCTCAGCACCTCTGTAGTTCATAAGGCAGGCTCTGTGAAATGTGGGAATTTAACATAACAGACAATGGAAGGCAATCTTTGAAATAAACTTGTCATGCCGTTCTCTCTACGCTCAGCAGCGTTTTTAAAATCCAGGGTACCCAATTACATTAACGGTTCTACAGTGTTCAGTCCAGGTCTGCACCTTCAAGTCTAAAACTAGAGTTATCCTTAAATGTCTTTCGTTTGATAAATGGAGTTTTACTTTTGATTCTGTGTCCTAATATATAAGCATTTACACTTGAGGTTAGTTTTGTGTTCTGCAAGTCATTCTATATTGATTCTACAGTTATCTATTCATTTTATATTTATAAAGAAGGTGTGCATAAATACAGTTGTTGAATGTATAGGAGCAGCAGTTTCTTTTGTGCGTGTTTTCACAGCTGTCAAGTTGCTGTTTGTAAAAAGAGCTTTGTTTGGCTGAGAGTCCTTGCTACTGATCCATAAATAATTGCAGGTTTGGAATAGCTGTCTTGCTCAGGCACCCACGACCGTATCAAACCGTTATGTTTGCAGTGGTGTTGAGCCTCTGATAGGCCTCGTTCACACTGGCGTGTTTATCCATACACCCGTGCCAAGGGCTGTGTTTGCCTGTGTAGGATGCACAGATGTTCAGTACATCCCGGAGCAGGCAGTCCCATTCATGTTTATTGGGTCACAGTGGCTCCACAGACACAGCTACTGGTCCCAATTTGACAGCCATGTGGGTGCAGGTACCTGGGCTTGATTTACTAAAACTGGAAGGTGCAAACTCTGGTGCATCTCTGCATAGACACCAATCCGCTTCCAGGTTTTTTGGTGGAAGCTTAAAGTATAACTAAAAGCAAACCTTTTTTCTTCACTTTTGGAGTGGAGAGGGATTAGAACACCTGTCAGTTTTTATTGCTGTCTGTGTCCCCGTTTGAGAGATTCACCCTCTTTTTTTGTCTTTGAAAGTGAAAGTTTAAAAAAAAAATCTAAATTTTGGGTTATCCCCAGAGGGGAAATCTTCCAATGGGGGTGCTAGTTCTGGTGACCTGGGGGTCCCCAAGAGAGTTCCTTAATTTGCATGGATTTCTTCTCACTTCCTGTTTGGCTATAAGACATGAAGTGAAGGGAAATCTCCCCAATGAGAAAAACATGGCAAAAATCAACCTTATAGGGGTTATAACACTTCCTTACTCTGTCCAAAATGAAAAAACAAAGTTTTGCCTGTAGTTCTACTTTAATCGAACAAGCTGACGTTAGAAGCTGATTGCCTACCATGCAGAGCTGCACCAGATTTTGCATTCTTCCAATTTAGTAAATCAAGCCCACGGTCTGTGTAACAAACGGCATTCAGTGTCAGTTGTTACTTCGCTTGCAGTCAGTTGTAGATTAGTAGTAGATTAGTCAGCTTTCCTGCAGTGGCAATATCCAGTAGTTGGTACCTAGTGAAGTAAAATAGTATCACAAAATTAAACTCTGCACAAACATTTCAATATTTTTTTCTTTGCATTGTAACTTATATGTAGTACTTATTTGTATGCCTGTTTTAACGAGAATAAATAATGCTAAGTCCAGTACCTGTGGGCAGCTGTTCTAAATCCCTTACATAGACCAATATGTACTGGCAGGATTTACACAGCAGTCCTACTTACTAAACACAACCTAAAGTATGTGCTCCTATCGACTTCATGTAGACTGACTAATTAGATTAGCTTCTGTAGGCCACACACAGAACACGTTGGACTTCTAGGAACTGATCAGCCTAATCTTCATGATTTGTTAGGTGCTGTATGTTACGATTGTCTACATGGCAGTAAATGGCCTCTTATGCTGATGTCTTGTTATTTTAAGGATGCAGTAGGGTCAATGGCATGGGTCTAAAGGTGGTCCTGTTCCTTGCATGTTGTAATTCGAACAAAGACTTGTGTATAAACCAATCCTGGACATTAGTTTCTGGTAGTTATTTACCAGAAAAGGAAATAAATTGAACATGTTTTGTGTATATAGCGTCAGTAGCTGCATCTACAGGTCTGTGGATCCAGAAGTCTTTTACTAGTTACTACACTTTTCATAACCCTGTTTGTATTAAATATTTGAGAAATATAATTATTCGGTTTCCATCAGGTGACTGCTTTATTGTACAGTTTTAATTAAACAGACTAGTTTAGAAACAAAAGCCTTGAAATGCAAAGACTAAGGAGTGAGGCCAACTTGAAATTTATCTGTTGGCTGTGCACTGTAGGGCAGCTTTTTTGTGCAGGTCTTCTGCCACAGTGATGTTACTGGTTACTAGTGACCTCATGGGCGGGACCTTTTTTGTGCCGGTCTTCTGCCACAATGATGTTTCTGGTTCTTGGTGACCTCAGGGGCGGGGCATTTGTTTAAACAGCAAAGTGTCTGCCTGCTGGTGTATGGCTGACTGGTACACTTTAGACATGAGTGGCATGACAGACCTTAGCTTGCATGTGTTTCAAGTACCATCTTATGTGTGGAAATGACAGAATTACCAACTTGAATAACATTTTACTTAGACATTTTGAATTGGGTTTTAATTCACGAGTTCAGGTTTGGATTCTTGATCCTGACAGAAGGTGATCATTAGCTAGGTAATGTTTGAATTGATCCTCAGCCAGTTTTCTTTATTATTTTGGCACATGTGTCAGAAAAAGGAAAGCACTGTGACTACTTACAGTGTAAGTTAATGGGTGCAGTAATGAAAAAAATCATTCATCTTCATTAAAATGTTACAAAAGTGCCAGGAATGAATGACACACAGGGCATGGCAAATACTGACCATTTTTATCCCAATATACTCTTTTTCTGTTTATCACCCAGGATTTCCAAAATATATTCTGTGTTTTTAAAAATATTTGTTATCCAGATTTGTATTAAAATGTTCTTTATTTTTTTTTAATGATTTATGATTTTGCTATGAATTTGCTATCTGACAGTTGAGTGACAAAAGACCTAGGAAGAAAGAAGCTTGAGCAAATGCATCGTGGAAATGGTTTACAATAGATAGCTTGTACCTGTTTCTAGAGGCAATTTAGCTGGAAGCAAATAATGTTTGCCCTCACAGACTAAATAGTATTTTCTAGTAGACATTCTCTTCTACTGTGCTGTGGCTCCCAAAGATATAGGATTGGCAGTTGGTCACTTTTAATTCAGAAGAACTACATGACTTGGTGCACTCTACTGAAGGAAATTACTTTTCCTTCCTAAATCTTGTCGTTTCCTGTTATAATTTCTGTAAAGTTTGCTTGTATGAGAAACTAAAAGTTTCCAAAATTATACTTTTTAAAAGTTTGTATGTGTATATATGTGTGTGTGTGTGTGTGTGTATATGTGTGTGTATATATATATATATATATATATATATATATATAT